GAGAAAATAAGAACAAAGATGGATTATGTAAAGGTACAATTCCCAATGAGAAATGTAATTGTGTTGTATACTTAAAATGTACCAATAAAAGAATTTAAGAAAAAAATAAAGGGCAGGGGATGTAGCTCAGTGTGAAGTCCCTGGGTTCAATCCCCAGTGTCCCTAACTCTCACTGCCCTCAAAAGATACATCCAGTTAAGCAGAAGGCAGCTTTTCAAACACCTGCATTAATTTCCTCTGTTTTTTATCCCACCCAGACTACAGGCCTATTGACATTGTGTCACTCATAATCAGGGTCATCTTTCCCCCTTAGTTTGCTGGTAAACCTGGAAACACCCCACAGACATACCTAGAACTGTGGTTTCCTAATCTGCTAGGTCTTTCTTAATCCAGTTGACACATCACAATTAAAGATGGCACACACACAAAAAAATAGAGCTATGCAAAAGACAATTGAAAGTATTTTCGGGCCAAGGATTTAGCTCAGTGGTTTCGCCGCTTGCTGAGCAAGCGCAAGGACCCGAGTTTGATCCTGAGCACCAAAAAAAAAAAAAAAAAAAAGTGGCACAGTCCTAGGATTACAAATTAAATTTGGTTTTATGGAAGGTAAAAAGCTACTTGAAAGAGTGTTTATAGTGTTTGTGAAAATGATGTTTACACCAAGACCTGAGAGACAATGAGCTAGTTTGGTGATGGTGGTGGTGGTTGGACTAGTAATAAGGGGAACAAAGTATTCTAAGTAGAAGGAGCAGTTAAGTACAAAGGTCCTAAGGCAAGGAAGGATGGGCTTGGTATGCATGAGGAACATGAGGTCAATGTGCTTGAGGCCTAACGAATGAAGCAGGGAGAAGAAAGATGAGTTTGGAGTCATAGATCCTGGAGGAAAATGTATGAGCCTAATTAATTTTTTGTTTATTTGTTTTGGTTTTATAATATGTAGGATTGAACACAGGAGTTCTCTATCATTGAACTATGTCCTCAGCGCTTTTTTTTTTGGTACTAGGGATCGAACTCAGGTCCTTGCCCTTGTGCAGCAGGTGGTGAAACCGCTGAGCTAAATCCCTGGCCCTCCAGCTCTTATTAAAGATCTTGACTCTTGCTAAATACCCAGGCTGACCTCTAACTTTCCATCCTTCTGGGATTACTGGCATGTACCATTTCATCTGGCTGAGCCTGAAACTTTTTTTTTTTTTGGTACTGAGATTGAACTTGGGACTAAAACTTTTGATATTATTAAAGTACAATGGAAAGCCATTAAAACAGTGGTAGTAAGCTGAAAGTATGTTACCTATGCCTCAGGACATATTCTATACCCAGAACAGTGGGTTGCTCCCTTCAAGACAGGGAGATTTCATATGAAACTCTAGGTTTCCGGCTTCTCTTTCAAAAAGCCGAAGATCTCACCAGACTGAACTCCAACTGTGTGGTGGAGGTTGGTTATAACCCAATATTTGGGTTTTGCCAAGAAATACAAAGGAGGCAGAAGGGGATGGGAGTTGAAAATATTTTCAAGGGAGTGATTATAATGTTAAATCATGGAGTCTGAGCTGAAGAGATGGGAACTGAAGTTTAAGGGGCTCTGACACATTGATCATGGTGGTTGAATGGACTGGCATCCCAATGATGTCAAAGAGAAGTATTTTCACAGGTGAGCCAAGAAAACTGGAGGTTGTGGTAGGAGAGCAGGGTACTGGGGTACTGAAGACAAAAATCTAGAATGTGACCATGGGAATGGCTGGCTGAAGTGGGTGGAAGAAAAGGTTATTACACATGAGATGAACAACTGAGCGATCAGAATGATGACGGGGAGCACTGGAGTTGTAGCTCGGCAGTAGAGTCCTTGCCTAGCACGTACAAGGACCTGGGTTCAATCCCTTGCCTGTTTTTAAAAAAATGACAACAATGGCAGGAATTGAGATGAAGAAAAAGCCTTTAAGTCAGATATAAAATCATCAAGAATAAATATGGGGGAGTGACCAGGAGATCTCAAAATTATCGCCTTGATCATTCTTGTCAGTCTTGAAAGAGGATAAGGAGATAGTAGCTTGGAGTACAAGGAACTTATGACCTCATCTTTTGATACTGAATTATGTGGGTGTATAAAAAAATAGAATAGTTATCTAATAAAAGCTAGGAACCAAGATTAGAAAACTAGGTGAGTTCGTAAGGGATCCTCATTAAATATTCAACTTTTAAAAATTCTTTTCTGGGCTGGGGATTTAGCTCAGTGGTTTCACTGCCTGCTGTGCAAGCACAAGGACCCGAGTTCGATCCCCAGTACAAAAAAATAAAAATTTCTTTTCTGTGGTCCTGGGGACCCAACTTGGGCCATGTACATGCGAGGTAAGTGTTCTGTCTCTGAGCTACACTACCAGCCCATCTTCTTTCTTTTTCCTTTTTTCTTTCTTCTTTCTCCTTTCTTCCTTTCCTTTCCTTAGCTTTCCTTTCCTTTCTTCCTTCTTCCTTCCATTCCGGGAACATTCACATTAATATTCAGTCAACTTTTTTTTTTTTTAGAAAAATGTCAAATGACATCTAGTTACTATCAAAGTTCCAGTGAAAGTATATTGCAAACACAATCTATGTTCATGGGAAATTAAGGGACAAAACAGTGAATTTAAAAATGACTTTTTGAGTATACTTGTCTTACTGAGGTCATCACAGGCATTATATCCAATGAGTCCTCAGGAATTACCAGCAACAAAAGGAACAAGTCTTTGATGGAGCTAATTACACTTCTGGCATCAATGGTTATGAGATTATGCTAAAATATTATTGAGGACATTTAAAGAAATCTAGAGCATTTAGAGATGCCCAGATAGCTGATATCTGGAGTACAGAAAAATAAACTTTGGGATGAGAAGTAATGACAATGGACTGCTTCAAGTAATGGGACAAGAAGAGTGGTGGCAGAAAGAAGTTTAGAAGCCAGGTGTGTGACGCACTCCTGTAATCCCAGACTCTGGGAGGCTGAAGCAGGAGGATGGTGAGTGCAAACCCAGTATGGGCAATTTAGAAACTTAGCAAGGCCCTGTCTCAAAATTTAAAAAAAATTTAAAAGGCTGGGGCTGAAGCTCAGTGCCAAGGTCCTGTGTTCAATCCCCAGAATTGCCAATGTGTGTGTAGGGGTAGATTAGACATACAGGACATTAGACAAAAGCTTTAGGGAAATGACTGCTAATAAAGAAATTCATTTTTCTATTTATTAACTAAATCTATTCAGCCTATTACAAGTTTTTTAAAAAATTTGAAATGATTAAGATTTTAATTATAGTATATCTTTGTAGTTGGATTTTCTCCAATATCCATTGTGTTCTATCCTGTCTTGAAATTTATAGGGATTTTTGTGATTTGTCTGATTGCTTATATGAGATGCAGTGCTGTGGTTAACTAAGTCAATTGTCTGAGCTAAGTCCCATTACAGCATCGCAGTTTACCACTTTACTTACTGGGTGACCTGAGCTACTGACTCCATTATACGTCCTCTGTAAAACCGTGATCAATAATAGTGCCTATTTCCTGAGGTGGTTGTGAGGATAAGGGAGCTAATGAGTGGAAACCACTTATAACAATCCTTGACCAATGTGTTAGCTACTGTTATTTTCTATGGGCTACAATACCGAGATAATCCCTGAAGGCACAACTCATTGCATGTGTTGTTGCGAATACAACATATTCCATTCTGACTTTCAAAGGTAATATTTTCACAAGGTAAAAAAAAATCCAACAGTATGCTTGTGCAGCCCATAAGTATGGTAGTCATTAAGATTATTTAAGTTCATTAAAATTAATAAAGTAAAAAATTCAGATCCTTGGCTGCACTAACCATATTTCAATAGGCAACAGCCATAGGTTGTTATTGGCCACGGAACTGGACAGTGTGGAAATAGAACATTTCGCTGTAATATGTTCCATCTCCAAGAGCTGCAGAGAGTGAAACCTTCTGCCCTTTCCTACTCCCAGTCCCTTCCAGGGGCAATCATTATTTCAAGTTTCTTGGATAGTCTTTTATGGTACACACACACACACACCCCACAGATATATTTTCACACAAACGTTACATAATTTACACCACCCTGCACCCAATTTTTCTTTTTAAATCTATTAATTGTATTGATTTGCGGAACGCGTTAGCTCCATATATTTAGTCAATTAACAGTTCAAGACTTAGAGCATCTGATGCAGGCATACGCAGCAACTCGGAAAACACTTTAGTACAATGCAAATACAAACACAAGGACTACGCATATGGTTACTTTTCGGAGCAGGTGGAAGGACTGAAGTACTTCAATCTCCTTTGATGGGTGGCACTGGCGGAAACCACGGTAGCGTCTGTTCTCTGAGCTCACACAGAAGCCGACCATCGGCTCCCCGGCGCAGCGGTCCTCCCACCCCTCTGGCCCGCAGAGCCATCACCCGCACTGCGGAAGAACCTTGCCGGCCCACTCAGGCAGGGAGCGGAAGTGGATTCACACCCACGACACCCGAGCAGCGCGCGCCCCCTGCCGCCCGCCCGGGGAACACGCGCGAGGGGTTGGGAAGCCGCCAATATGGCAGGGTGGCCAGGGGGCTCCGCGTCGCCGTCCCCCGGGCGAGACGGGGCGGCCCCCAATGTGGTGGCGCGGGTCTCGCGGTGGGCGGACGATCACTTGCGCCTGGTCCAGGTACCGCAGGCCCGCCAGCCGGGCGGTGGGGAGTGCAGGCCCGCGCGGAGCGAGCGCGGGAGGGACCCGTCCAGGGAGGCCTCAGGGTGGGCTGCCGCGAAGTCGCGAGGGCGCGGGGCTGGGGGGGGGACAGGGCAGGAAGGGACGCCTCCTAGAGCGACGCCTCGCCTCAGGTCTCAGCTGTCCCTCGGGCGGTCGGGACTCCCGCTTAGGGGCCGAGGAGGAGCCCCTGGCCGTGGTGTGAGTGTAACGAGAGGAGAGGCCACGGGAGGTCGAACAAGAGAGGGACTCCTGGGCCACCAAAATGGTGGTGGTAGTGGTGGTGTGGAGCTGTCGCTGGATTGGTGGTGGCGACGATTGCTGAGAGAGGAGTTGGAGGGAATGATTAGTTGGAAAAATCCATAGAGCTTTTTGGCCTTGTGAGCATGGATGTGTGAGGTTGAAGATGGCCGTTAATTAAACTTATAAGCAGAATTGAGAGGCGCTGTTCGAGGCTAGTCTGGTGTGAAGGGAAGTCAGAGCTGGACATGTCATTTTGGGAATGAGTGGCACAAGCCATAAGTAGTGTTTAAAGCCCCAGACTTGAGCAGCTGTCCGAGCAAATGAAAAAAGCCATGGAAGAAGCCCTGCAACTGTGACCTATGGGCTTGTAACATTCGGGGCATGAAAAGAAGGAGACCAATGAAGACGAAGAAGGAGCAGTGAGGGAGGAGGAAAAGCCAGGTTTCCTAGAAGCCAAGTGAAGAGAGTATGTCTTGAGGAGGAATGATTGATTAACTTATAAAATTCCGCTGAGAAGTTGAGCTCTGCAGCCAAGCAACATAGGGTGCAAGGCCATGTGTGTTTACGCTCAGCTCTGTAGCCCCACTCCTTGTAGTAGTACCTGCCACTTAGAAATTGCTAGATAAATATATGTAACACTGATGAATGGTAAACCTAAAAACGTATATATGTTAATTGATCAGGCCTTATTTCTTCCAATTCAAAAGTGGATGCATGGGTTATTTGAAACTAAAAATTGGCCTGAAGTCTGAGGTGTAGGTCAGTGGTAGTGTGCTTAGCATGTACACGGGCCTGAGTTCAGTCCCCAACATCCTCTCCCCAAAAACACCTTAGAAGGATTGTGGAAAGAAGCAGTGTCTATTTGGTATATGGATATATTATTTGAAATAACCTGATCACAGAACCCAAAGAATGTGCCCCGGTGTCTATTTTCACACTCTTACGTACCTAGCCATATTTATTGAAGGAAAGTATGTTAGATTATCACTGTTTTTGAGGGAGTGATGATACTCTTTAATTTTTTCATTTAGGTCCTTAGTTTAAAGAAAGCAATTTAGAAATATCACTGTGTTCTCCCCATGCATTCACCCACATATATTTGTCAAAGTGCTGTATTTTAGCATTGTAGTATTAAGGTTTTCTGCCAAGCATGTAAATTCTCACCATGGATGCAAAGTTATGCTCATTTTGGGGGGCACTGTGCAAGGAGTATTAAACCATTTGTGCATTCAAGGAGCTCATAGATAAAGTACAATAATAAAATTACTGGGTATGCTAGATGGGAAAAGACTGGGAGAAGATTAATGAGTGGGTGGACAAAGTTTTGGGAAAAAGTGAGTCATCATTTGAATGATATCTGTTATTTATACTGTTAGAAATAGGGAAGAGAGTCTTTTTCTTCCTCCCTTCTAATTAATATTTCACATCGTGAATAATTAATGATAATTAATCATTAAATTTCTTTCTGTAGAACATCAGCACTGGGATGGCCATAGCCGGAATAATGTTATTTCTAAGAAGTGTTCGACTGGTGAGTTAAAAAATGAAAAAGGCGATAGACAGTTCATTTATTCTTCAGACAGTTTTCATTTCAAGCAGTGTATCATTTTGTTATTCAAATGCTAAGCTTTTAAATAGTATTTTAGAATAATGAATATATTTTAAGATCTTGACTTTAAAGTAACAGCCACAGGATTTTATAGAAAGTAATTGTACAGGATATATTTCCATAATCATTTTTTTATATTTAAAATTAATCTGCAAAGGATTTAGCTTGTTAGAATGTTATAATCACTAAATTTGCATTTCAGATATTGTGGGATACCTCAAAAGTGTTTTTCTAGGGTCCTTTTAGATTTGGATCACAGCTTAGTTATGTCCCTTAGCACTGAATAATTTATACTTTGATTAGTGGAGTTTGTTTTTTTTGTCCTTTCAATGATGTTTTAATAATGTAGAGTTCCACTTGTAAGATTTCTTGTAAATCAAGAATTACAAGTGTATTTTATTTTTCACTTTTTTGTGGTAAAATACACATAACATAAAATTTACCATTTTAATCACTTCAGTGTACGTAAAGTTCAGCGGTATTAGACTTATTCATACTGTTCTGTCACTGTCACCACTATCCATCTCCAGAGCTCTATTCATCTTGCAAAACTGAAACTCTATACCTATGAAACAATAACTCCTGTTTTCCTTCCTCACTACTCCTGGCAACCATTATTCCTTTTTCTATCTCTTCGATTTTAATTACTCTAGGTACTATCTCTTAAAATTAGAATCATATTTGTAAGTAATAGCATTATTTAAAATATAGTTCATATTAGGGTAGGGATTTAGCTCAGTGGCTCTGCCGCCTGCCTCGCAAGCACAAGGTCCCAAGTTAGATCTC